CAAAGGTACGAAACCATCTCGCAAGCAACATCTACATTTGGAATCAGTTATAAAGATATTGGATTCACGTTGAGCAGACAAATAAAAAATATGCCCCATACTACCTCCGTTTTTAAGTAAATGCAATAATTAACTTTTTCACGTTTTCAATACACAACTTTAACCATTAATATATTTAATTCTCTTTTAGTAAAAAAAATTAAAAGATTTAGATTTTGAAAATTTAGGACGAAACAAATTTAACAATACAGTTTTTAAAATAAATTATTAATACATTAATAAATAAAACATAGTCAAAGTATAACATGAGAATAATGTAAAATGTCACATGTTGCATTTATTTAAGAACCCATAGGAAAATTTGGATGAATGTATAAAGTTCACAATTAAGAGTCTGTTTGGTGACCCTGTTTTCTACTTATCAGGCTTATCGGCCAAATTTTTCACCAAACAAGTAACTTTTGATTTGTGCGTGTTGAATTATGTAATAATACGAAAAAATAAGGTTTAAGTTACTTTTTTAGTTGCTTTGACTGAAGTTACTGTAGGTGATCAGTTTAACTATTTTTCATATAATTTTTTATATATTTTATTGATAAAAATATTTTAAATATATTTTTTCAAAAATTACCTCAAATAGGACTAAAACTATGGCAAAAATAAAAAATAAGACATCTTATGTGTTTATAAAATAGAAAATAAAATGTTTTTTTAATTTGTTTTTTTAAGAAAAATAAAAATAGTAAAAAGCCATACAAAAAATTAAAAAATTATTGATGCCTTTCTCACCGTCTGTACTGCCTCCCTGCACCACCACCTCCGACCGGTGTAAAAATGCCATTTTTTCTAAAAAAATGCCACTCTTTATGAAAATGCCAAAAAATGGCACATTACTCTTCGAGAATGTCAAAATTTTCATTGAATCTGCCATAAATATGGCATACCTAATGCATGGGACATTTTTTCCCCCGGTGATCGAAGGTGGTGGTGCTGGGGAGGCAGAGGCGGCGATGATTTTTTTTTCGTTTTTTAATTTTTTATTAATTAATTTTGTTTTTTTTAATTTTTTTTAATTATTATTCTTTAAATATTTTTATTAATTTTTTAGTATTTTTTATGAATTTTTATTATTTTTATTATTTTATTATGAATTAAAACATTTCAATAGCTACAAGGGTATATTTGTCCAACACACATAACTAGTCCTATGAAACATAGTTTATTTTTTTGGCCTATTTGTGTAAACTGACTAAGTGACTAGCTTTTAGTTCTATTTTGATAATTAACGCATAATCTTTTCATAAATAAGCAGAATCAGTCAATCAGTCACCTGAGTCAGAACTTAATAAATTTTAGTAGAACCAACCAATTCAGAAAATTTAAATGTTACCAAGCAAGTTATAAATGTGAGTCAAGTTTAATAGGGACGGAGCGACTACATATTTTACCATTTGACTGTGAATAGAAAGATTCTTTCGTGCCGTAGGTTTTGGATTGCTGTATAAAGTCTTCATTTTTTACGTTGTTCAATACAGAGCAAATCATTACCAACAAATTGTAGTGGACATTCTCAAAACACGAGACTTTTTTGTGTGATAGGCAAAAACATTTAAAATAAAATGCAACGAAATACATATGAGGGACTATACCAAAATCACTCCAGAGAAGACATACCCGTTTACAAAATACAACCACAAGAAATAACTATAATTTACCTAAAAAGCCAAATAAAAAACACCCAGAGACTTTTTGTGTGATAGGCAAAAACATTTAAATAAAAACAGTGGAGTACATGACGGAAAACATTTACCAGGTTTTATTAAAAAATGCAATGAAATAAATATGAAGTGAGGGACTATACCAAAACCACTCTAGAAAAGGCATACCCGTTTAAAAAATACAACCACAAGAAATAACTACTCCACAAGAAATAACTACTCCCAGGAGTATAATTTACCTAAAAAGCCAAATTAAATAAGCCCAAGCTTATCTGCAGTCAACGAGCATCAAATATGACCTTGAATAAGTCTGATCGAATCAAATATTGTGAGAGAGAATTCCCCAAATAGGAGCAAAGCATAGGCAAAATGCAAAAATATGAGTACCATATTTTGAATAGGAGTAAATTTAGTATTTGGACAAGTAAACCCCTACCCAAGCCCCAACAACTTTTAATTAAATGTTTAATTCATAATAAATTCGAAAAAAATTCAAAAAATCGTAATAAAATAATTAAAAAATTTATAAAATATTAATAAAATAAAAAATTTAAAAAAATATATAAGGATGCCAAAATATATTTTTAAAATTTTTTATTTTTAAAAAAAAATAATAAAAAATAGTAAAACTCCATAAAAAAATAAAAAAACAAGGATGCCTTTCCCACTGCTTGTACTACCTCCCTGCACCACCACCTTCGGCCGGTGAAAAAAAATTCCATTTTTCCTAAAAACTGCCCTTTTTTCTGAAAATGCCAAAAACATGGCATATTTCTCTTTGCGAATGCCAACATTTTGAATGTTTTCTACCATAAATATGGCATTCGTAATGAACTTGGCATTTTTTTCCCCTGGTAAATTTTATTTTATTTTTTTGAGTTTTCTATTTTTTTTTAAAAAAAAAATTATATTTTTTTATTTTTTGAAAAATAAATAAATAAATAAATTATTATTATCGAATAAGTCATAAATTAACTAGGTTAGGATTAAATAAGTCATATTTTAGAATTAACTAGGTTAGGGATATTAAGGGCACAAAATTAATGTTTACTCCTATTGAAGAAAGTTTTAAGTTTTACTCCTATTTGTGCAATTATGTTTATATTTACTCCTATATTGGATAATTTCTAATATTGTGAATCCATCAAGATTTAATTTGGACACAAAATGAGCCGGCCAGTTAATGTCTCTCACAATGCCAGAAAAAGATAGAGAATATTACCCGAAATAGGACAAACAGTTTGAAAATTGCAAAATAGGACTACCATTTTTTATTTCCAAAATAGGACAAATATCACTCCAAACCATCAATCTTCCCAAATCACCCAACACCATCCGACATCTTCCTTCCAAACTTCCCCCTTCTATAGCCTCTATCGTCTTAAACGAATCCGATTCAACTTCAAAGGCGCGATATCCGTGCTCAATCGCCCAGGATACTGACCTGTGAAGCGCTGCAAGTTCTGCCTCCATAGCTGACGAGGCTGATATAGGAAAGCGCTGCAAGTTTGAAGTTCTCACTCTACTTTTTGTTATAATTTCTATTTATTTTCACTTTTCCCCTCTTTTGTTCTTGATAATTTATTTATGTTCTTTTTTCTTTCTTCTTGTTATCTTAATTTCACCATCAATATGTTTTTTCTCCTTTCCTCATTATTGTATTTTTCTTAGTAAATTCACCATTAATTACATCTATGTGATAAAAATATTATGAAATAATAAGACATTAGGGAAATGTAAAGAAAAATTAAATATTAGGGGAAATGTATTTTGTTTCTTCCATTTTCACTAATATTTTATTTTTCTTTTAATTTAATTTTGCACTAGTGAAAAAATGACAATGGAAAGTATTCTATTTGTCACATGGAGTTTTTCACATAGTTGATGGAATTAATGGGTAGACTTACTTAAATAAATAGGATAATGCAAAAAGGAGAAAACATATATTGATGGACTGTGGGAAAGTGGGAGTAAAAAGAATGTGGGAAAGTGGGAGTAAAAATAAAATTTAACAAAAATTAAGAAGAGAGATTAAGACGAGAAACATAAAAAAGGAAATGACATAAAAAACGGAAAAACAAAGAAAATGATGGTGGAATTAAGATATCAAGAAGAAAGAAGAAAAAACATTAAAAAAAAGTAGCAAGAAGATAATGTGGGAAAGTGGGAGTAAAAAGAAAATATAACAAAAATTAGAGTGTGAAAAATATTTTTAATAAGAAGAGAATGATTAAGACGAGAAACATAAACAAGGAAATGAAATTAAAAAAAACGGAAAAACAAAGAAAATGACAAAAAGATCTATTTGGGAAGGAAAATTTACATAAAATAACTCTCCTAATAGAGTAAAAAAATATAATAAAAATGAAAAATAAATAAGAATAATAGGATAGAAAAAGGAATAAAAAGCTGATGAAGCTTAATACATAAATTAAACTCTCCTATGATGAAGCATCCACAATAAACTGATTTGTAACATTTATATTACGTGTAGATTATGATACTTAATTATATGCTTCTAATACACAATTGTACTATCGTTACATTGATTTAATACCAATAATCATTTTTTAAATGTTATACTCATTTCTTTTAACATAAAATACATGGTTGTACGGTGAGCACTAATTTAAATATACTTTCGAGAATTTCCGCATAAATATACTCTTTGTCCATGTTTAACATTAAATGAAAAATGAAAAATGACTAAGGATGTTTTTACTTGGATTGTTTTCAGTCTCAGATCAGATTAGACCAGACTTAAACAGACCAGATCAGACCAGACTTAAAGAAATCAGATCAGACCAGACTAGACTTCCGTAGTTACAAAATACAAAGAGATCATACATTTATTAGATCAGATGAGACCAGAACAGTTCAGACTAAACCAGACAAGATCAGACTTAAATAGACCAGACCAGATGAGCAAATTATAGTCCAAAGTAAAAACGTCCTAAATAAAAAGGATACTATCACGCAATAATCTCAATCATAAATCATTAGAGGGGTCAATGAGCTAATCATCTTGTAGTTCAATGACATCATAGTGACACTCTCGAAAAGGAGCCAGAGTTCCAAAACTCATTGTGGTCAACAAAAAGACGAAGTCCAGCAACAATACTCAGATGAATCACCGGAAGTTTCTGTATCCATCTTTCGACTTATGCTTAGCAAAGCACTTACGTTGGCCCATTGACTTTCCACCTCAGCGCTTTCGTCGTCCGCTCAACGACATCTGTATATATAACCGATCCACTACCAACTGGTCTAGTAACCCATTCTCTTTCATTCTCGATCTACAGTTATACACTTCTTCTTTTTTGTTTTGCTTTCTGAGGATTTCGTATCGCTACAGAAATGGCAGCAAACTCAAAAGAAACAGAGCTCCCTGTGAAGGCCTTTGGATGGGCAGCGAGGGACACCTCCGGTTTTCTTTCTCCTTTCAATTTTTCCAGAAGGTATATTTACAAGTCAAACAATCTATGTGTTCTGTAACGTGAAGTGGCTAAACCTGTAGTTATATATTGGGGTTTTGAAATGTGAGTAGGGAAACAGGGGAGAGGGATGTGCAATTCAAGGTGACATATTGTGGAATTTGCCATTCAGATCTTCACCAGCTAAAAAATGAATGGGGTTTCAGTTCATATCCAATTGTTCCTGGGTAAAATCAATTTTCTATCTCAGATTAGCACCCTTTTTCTTAACTTCTTCAAACGAACAATGAATACAGCACCTTTTTAATCACTTAAACTAAGTTTATGGATTGGGTGCAGGCATGAGATCGTTGGTGTAGTGACAGAGGTAGGGAGCAAAGTCGATAAATTTAAGGTCGGCGACAAAGTGGGAGTGGGGTGTTTTGTCAATTCCTGTCGCAAGTGCGAAAGCTGTGCGAGTGACTTAGAAAATTACTGCCCTGGAGGTGTCCCAACCTACAATGCTACCACGACCACCACATACGGTGGTTACTCAGACATTATGGTCGCAGACGAGCACTTTGTGCTCCGGTGGCCGGAAAATTTGCCGATGGAGGCGGCTCCTCTGCTCTGTGCCGGGATCACAACGTATAGCCCTTTGAGATACTTCGGACTGGACAAGCCCGGAATGCACATCGGAGTTGTCGGGCTAGGTGGCCTTGGCCATATGGCTGTCAAGTACGCTAAGGCTTTTGGATGCAAAGTTACTGTGATCAGCACCTCTGCTAGTAAAAGGCAGGAAGCTATTGATCGTCTTGGAGCAGACGCATTCTTGATCAGCCGCAACCCAGAAGATATGCAGGTTTGCTAATTAAAATATACTCCGTATCTAGCTATTATAAAGATCTGTGATTCATCTTCTTTATCTGTATTCTGTAAGCGATCCATTTGTTACTTACTCTGTGTATAGGCTGCCGCAAACACATTAGATGGCATTATAGACACGGTTTCTGCAGTTCACCCACTTGTGCCACTGCTCTCTTTGTTGAAAGTAAATGGAAAGCATGTCTTGGTCGGAGCGCCAGAAAAACCACTTGAATTGCCGGTCTTTCCTTTGCTCATGGGTATATACGTATATCCTTAGAAAGTTTCCTAAATAGGAATAAAACATAATGTGGTTTTTTCAAAGAAGTGTCTTTAATTGATAGAGGCACCAATCACAAAATTACAAATTTTGTTAATATTTAAAGCCCACTATACAAAATTTTGTATTACAGTGGTAATTAATACGGAGTAACATAATTATAATTAATAAACTCAGTTGTTACTCGATTGGTTATTGATGTCATACTTGTTTTTCTAATGGATGGATCACATACATGTAGGAAACTGGTTGCGGGAAGTGGCGTGGGTGGAATGAGAGAGACACAAGAAATGGTGGACTTTTCTAGCGAGAATAACATAACACCAGATGTGGAGGTTATTTCCATAGATTATGTGAACACTGCAATGGAACGCCTCTCCAATAATCAAGTGAAATATAGATTTGTACTAGACATTGCTAACACAATGAAATCTGCTTGAATATGTTCATATTAAGAGGCATGTCTTGGCCTGAATGATTTATTTACTTTGTATTTTTCTTAAGTTTCAATAATTTTATGAGACATCGTTATGTTTGTTTGTATTAATATACAGAGTACTACATATAATATAAGCTATGTTGCTTCTCCTATTTATTTTGGGCATTTAACGATTGTTATCACACACTTGATGGAATTGGTATGAATACAACTCTCTTTGTTCTAAAGTGAACTTCATTATTTCTCATTTCGTTCATTCAAATATAAATTCCACTTTGCTTTTATGAGAATTTATGATTCACAATACAATCTTTCTCCTCTACACAACTTTTAGCCACCCAATATTCACTCTTGGGAGAACTATAAAATAAGCCCTCGAACTTACGTAAAAAGTGCAAATAAACCTTTATATAGGAAGCTCTGTTTGGCCATCGTTATTTGGAGCGGCTCTCGGTGGAATTGTTTGATAAAATTTTTTGAGCATTTTATTCATTAAGTCTAGTTTACTAATATCAAATTTCAGCTAAATATATAATCGGGAAGGCATACAAATGAATTTTTGAAGATAATTGCGCAGTTAAACAGCGCATTGTATTTCAGAAAATCGTTTGACTGCCTTCTCGGTTAATTTTTTAGCTGATATTCGGTATGAGTAAACTAGACTTAAAGAAGAATATGCTCAAAAAATTTCATCAAAAAGTTCTACCGGAAACCGCCCCAAATGACGACAGCAGGACATAATCTCATATAAAAGAGTTTATTTGCACTTTTTATGTAAGTTTGAGGGCTTATTTGATAGTTCTCCCTTCACTTTTTAAATTCTCGTGCCAAGTCAAACCAGAGTTATTTACGGGAGGGATGAAGTATATCTTTGTATGAGATTTGGATTACTTTTCATTATTTTTCTTAAGATGGTGACGTCAAATCTTATTATGATATTAGATCACAATTCAATTATGATTTGATTCTTTGGTTATCATCTATGATTTATGATATGTTTATTAGACTCATTATATATCGCTTGATAGAGTATATAGATTTGGACCTGCGGGTCTCTTGACTGTTGGGCTTGAACAGTGGCCCACACACGCTCATCGGATGTCATTTATATTATTGCGTTGGAGTTTTTTTCTAATTAATTAATTAATTACGAAAATAATGCTAGGTTAAAAGTATTTACCGATATACTGCTGGGATTAATCATGGTCGGGGTAAGTCGCCAAACGGTTGGGCGACTTATAAGTCGCCATCCGGTTTGGCGACTTATAAGTCGCCCAACCGTTTGGCGACTTACCCCTTACTATAAAGGTCTCATTTCTCCTATTTAGGAGTTACGAACCAGATACAACACATTACAATAATCCAATATTCATAACACAGTAGTCATCTAATATTCATACTCGAACACATCAACACATCATAAAAGAGTTTAGAGGTGGAAATACGTAAAATAAAGTCAATTTTTCCTACAACATCTAGTGTACAAGAAAAACTCCAATACAAAAGACGAACTACAAGTTCTCATGGTCTTCTTGATCGTCTTGGTCATGGAGATGTTGTTGTTGCTGCCTACGCCTACGCTGCTGGCGTGGTTGAAGAACCACTCTCTCATGATGAGTCTGAGATGATGAAGCTGCCGCTGCACTAGATGTCGATATAGTGGCATACCATTGCAATGATGGACACCCACTGCCTGATGAGCCTCCACGTCTCCTGGGACCACATCATCTCTCATGATGACGCCCAATGTGGATTTACTCCCATGACCAAATCTGGAGAAGAAGCGAAAATCCTCCAAGCTCTGTGCTCCCTCTATGGCAACCGCGACACAGCTGTCTGTAGAGATAAGCCAGCGTGGCACTATCCCAAATGAACTGTGCAGCTACATCAAACCTCTCTAGCATAGGCAAGTGCAGCACCTGAACCTCATTTCCGCTCTTGTCAGCGAAAATGAAAGCTCCCATCATCATCAAAATAGATGCTCGTGCATGCTGCTGGATCATCACCTCATCAGCGTCCACATGAAGAACAGCGAAATGCTCCCTCAGCCATGGCATCCTTAGAGATGACCCCTGAAGGTCAGCCCGAAGAAGGGGGTGAACACCCAACAAACGCTCACACTCATCAACCCACTGTCGACAAACAGTACCAGTAACAGCTCTCCCATGGACTTGTAACCCAGTCAGTACAACAACATCTCCCAAGGTCACTGTGACCTCACCAACAGGGAGGTAAAACGTGAGTGTCTCCTGCCTCCAACGCTCAAGAAGAGCAGTGAGTAGCGCTCTATCGAGAGGGACAGTAGCCACCAATCTATGAAGACCATAAAAACCCGCAACACGAACATATGGAAGTACTATGTCGTCCACCTGCACATGCGACAAACCACGTAGGTGCTCGCGGCACCTATCCACCTGAACATCGAGGCCAACACACACATCCTCACTCCTGTGCGAGGCATGCAATGTCAGGACAGAACGATCACTCGGCCCAGGATTCGCTGACACCTCCATGCCTACAAAAAATAAAAGGATATTAGCTAATTTTTAATTTTGTATTATTTTATTTTATTTTAATTAATATTTTATTAATTATTTTTTTTCATGCACCGTTACTATCAAATTTGGAATATTTTACTATTATGGCCGGTTTGTTTACATATTCCACATCTAACCGTTCCTCAGGGACCTTCATCCATCTCATTCTTAATACGTGTGGACTTAGGTCTTCCCTTAGCGCGAACCATGGATGGATCATGCACAATTTCAGGTCCATAGTAAGTCGGCCAATAATCACGGTCAGGAATGAGTTTAAAGACACTTTGATATGTGGCGGCGTATTGTTCAGATGAGAAAAATGGATCCACAAATGGATGAGAAGACAAACTACGTTATACACATATGCTTCCCATCAACACGATCATTAACAACAAAAGCTTCAAAAAGACCATAAGCTTGAAAACCAAATTCATAATCTTCATTACAACAATACAACCAAATTCAACAACCAAATCAGTATCCACATACAACCACACAAAACCTAAACATCTGCTAATATATCCTACTTCCCAGCAAGATGGTAACAAGCAACCCAAACCACACTACATTCCAGGAGAAAGTCCCATTGCCTTTCTTTGACATCTAAAGTTTCTCTACCATATTTTGGAGTTTTAAAAGACCAATCCCACGAACACAACTCTAGATTTCAGCTTGCATCTCTAATTCTTCATTCGGAAATTCTCTTCAACACTGGAAATCTTCTGGAGCAAGGTCTCTATCCGTCTCACGCAAGTACCACATTCTTCATCCTCAACCCATTCAAAGAAATTGCACTTTTCACCATTCAAGAAATGACCGCACCCATAAAATCTTTTCCCCCTGTTTTTGTTTGTTGTAGCAGTCTACACTGGTGCTTGGAGTCCACAGTCACACCTCTTAATTCGCCTTCTTGCATCCATCGACCAGGACTCAGCACTCGAAGAACTCATCGCCGTCTTACTCCCCTTTCTTTATTTCCTTCACCAACGTCTTCGAACTGCCTTAAACAAGAGGCTGGAGGGTTTTAATAATTAATGAGAAAAGAAAAGCCACGTGTATATGCGCCCAAAAGAAAGACCACATCAGACCAGCAAATTGCAGTCCAAAAGAAAACATCCTAAATCTAATTTATTACCTCTTTTCCTTACTCTTCTAGCTTTATCTAATCTCATAAATAAAATTCATACGTATAGACTTGGTATTAGTTATTCTCACAATCTCACCTTATCTTTCTTGTAAGATTCAAATTATCATTTCCACAAGAATTCGTTAATAGGCGTGGATTTAAATGAAGATTTCTTTGTTATCTCACCTTAATTATTTTAGCATTAATAAAGTTCAAAAATTTAACAAAGTTCAATTCATACCTCCAAATCTACATTACATAACAAAATTCAAAAAAAAATTATATAACAATGAATTCAACATCAACATTCAAAACTTCATACATATTCACATTACACAACAAATCAATTCACAAATGAATTCCTAATTTACAAAATCCAATTTTCTATATTCTAAACCCTAAAATGAAAAATGAGATAAATTGGAGATATTTGTTTACCTAGAGTGTTGAAGAAGATGGAAGTGAAGTAGTATTGACAAGATAGGGAGGCCTCGCCTGAGTTTCGCCGGACTTGGAACCTGTTTTCCCCGCTCGCCGCACACACACTCGCACCACCAGGCCACGTCAAACGAGTGTGGATAGTAAGCTCCCAATCCAAATGTTATCAAATGCATACTCTAGTTTCTATGTAATTCATGAGTTATGTGTGCCCTTAACTATCAGATTCGAACTGCGATCCCCCAGCGGGTGTAGGTTTAGTCCTTTACGCGTGCCACGCTCCAACTAAGCATATAAACCTGACTTGAGCTCTAGCTTGGAAATTTGAGGCCACTTAATATAGGCCCAAATCCAATAGCAAATTATAAGCTCAAGAAATTATAACAATTTTATTTGAAATGGACAGATGCAACTAAATGGTGGCATCATATCAGCCCCTTATCCGTCTCTCTTAGTCATCTTTATTTGATGACCTGGACATCATATTATGGACGGTCACTCGACCTATCTCTTAGTCATCGTTATTTGATGACTGGGACTACTTATAATGTCGAGCTACTCACATCTAGAGATTGGTCTCGGCCATCCCCTCAGCAAACGGACACCGTTGCAGCCCCACACCTAGGCCGAAGGGCTCACCCCTTTTGCTTCATTTTGGGGGCATCTGGTGTGCTATTTTTCCCTCATTAGGATTTTTCCCACCGGGTGTTTCCTAATGAGGTTTTTAACGAGGCATCTCTCAAACGTGCACAAAAGGTGTCGACCCTCGGTCCGTATTGAAGACATCACGCGACACACACTACTCTACTCATCTTCACCTCTTCACATTCACCTCAAGGAGTGGAGGACTGGAAGAGCGGGGGACTTAGCGCCTTCGTTAACAAAAGAAGTAGAAATTCAAAATTTTTCATGAAGTTTACTCACCAGACAATATATCAGCACACAGTTCTACTCCCTTTCGCCTCGAGTACTCTCGACTTAGGGAGTGAGAGACTCCTGATAGAGTATATAGACTTGGACCCCCGGGTCTCACGACTGTTGGGCTTGGACAGCGGCTCA